GTGGTGGTGGTGGTGCTGGTGCTGGTTGGTGCTCGTGCTGGTGGTGGTGCTGGTGCTGGTGGTGGTTGTGATGGTGGTGGTGGTGGTGGTGGTGGTGGTGGTGGTGGTGGTGGTGGTGGTGGTGGTGGTGGTGGTGGTGGTGCGGCGCGGTGGTGGCGGGCGGATGGGCGCGCGAGAAAGAGGCCCGCGCTGGGGCGAGAACGCCATCCTGAACGACGGAGGCCAAACACCTATCCGAAAATGAGGCCCACGCTGCAGCGGGAGCACGATTCGGAACGATTCGGGAGCAGAAATGAAGCCGGCGCCTCAGCGAGAGCATCATTTTGGAAAAAAAAACGCAGGCGAAAACCCGTTTCCCGGGAATCCTGTGTGTAAAAAAACAGTACGCGGGGGGCACTCGGCCCGAAAATGACGCCAGCGCCTCAGCGCGAGTCGTTTCCCGGGATTTCCCGGGCATCCTGTGTGTTAAAAAACAGTACGCGGAGGGTGGGCGGCCATCACCCGGACGCCATCAGGGGAAGAGGGAAAGTATTTTCATATTGAATAGTTGTTGAGCGGGGAGGGAGTGGGGGTGGACGACAAAATGCGTCCTGGATCCTGGCTGTGCTCTCCAGGACATCCAATAGGCCTGTCCGGGGAGCTGGGTTCAAAAGTTCCACTCCCGGCGGGGGGAGTCCCCATGTTGCTAAAACCCTGGCGGGGTGTGACAGAGAAGTGTTTAAAGTTTTTCCTGGTACCTCTATTTAGGTTGTTGTCTTGCTTGTGACTGGCTTGGTGGCACCGGAAAATAAGGGCCCGCAATCTGCCTGGAAACATAGATGCCGATCTCCGCTCTGTACTACGCATGGCCTCTCTCACAGAACAACATTGGAGCGTCCATCATCATATCGCTGTCATACACTGGACGATATAATGAGACGCGCGAATAAAAATAATGGTATTCACCAGACCCCCAGTGGCGCACCGATTGTGTGACTCGGAGACTGGGGTTTCAGCCCCGCGGGCCGCCTGGGCGGACAAATCCTGCCCCCCCCCCAAGCACAAAATATCCCTTCCCCCTTCTGGCCTGCTCAGGAGGCCCCGAGGTCGGCCCCATAGCAGTTGCAACCGCCTGGCCTGCCAAGGTGGCCCAAGAGGGGGGAACGTCGGCCACAGCCGTTCCACGCGCGGCAACGCGGGCCACCGTGCCATACAGGGTGGTAACATCAGGTAGCTAGGCCCATCAACAGGGTTAAGGCGCTCCACAGCCATGTCACCTCAAGTCCTCTTCCTCCTCCCCCTCCTCCTCCTCATCTTCCTCCTCCTCGCTTTTTTCTCATTACGATTAGCAGTAGTATTCGCATTTTTCTCATTACGATTAGCAGTAGTAGTAGCATGATTATTGCTGATAGTGTTATGATATGTTTGCTAGTTCCTCTTCTTCTATCATTACTATTAGTATGCTTTTTCTTAACACTACTATTCTCCTTACTCGTCTATTTTTGATTATTTGATTATTAATGATACTTTTCTGCGTCTTAGTATTATTCGTACTGCTCTTAGTACGCTTCTTATTATTACTACTAATAATAGTTGTATTGTTCTAATCCGTCTTCTTATTAGTATTACGATTATTTGTGATGTGTTTATTATTCGTCCTCCCCTGCTCCACCAGTCTTTTGCCTGGAGATTCGTAATCCCTGCGAGATGTTCCGATGATATATCATGGTCAGTGGGCTCCGCTGATGACATGGGTAAGAAAGGATATCGCCGTCAAGCATACACTAAGGTAACACTGAAGGGAGGAGGCCGGCCCGCCGGCCGACGCACGCGCGCGCGCCGCATGGTCGTTCCCTTTCCGTTTCCCTAGAGCCACAGCACATAGCTGCGGGAGCAGAATAAGTTAGCACAGCAGGCGAACAGCGCGCGCAAGGAGAGAGAGCAGGCAGGGCAAAAGAATGGCGGCGCGGAAGGGGCGCATTGACTCCCCCCGCGGCAGGATCCGCAGAGCCGCCCCGACCCCCAACCCACCTGGCCTGCACATGTACAGCCACCGGAGCGAACCCGGGCCTAGAAAACATTTTACCGCTCGACGGTGGTTGGCAGGGGGCGGAAGGCCGCAGAAGTCCGACGCTCCCCGCCTGAGCTAACATTTCCAGCTCAGGCCTCAATGCCCACGCACACCTGGTGCACCCGCTCCACGAAGTAGCGCGGACCAGTATCGACTTTGTCGCACAGGTTCCATTGCGCACCACCACCTTCTCCATCGACCTCTCCACTCTCTCGAGTCATCCCAGGGATCGCTGTTGCTCCAGCGCCACTGGTTCTGGTCCCTGGAGGATCTGTCCTCTCTTCGGCTCGAGCTCCAGCCGCTTGGCTCACTCTTGCCCCGGCCCTTCTCCGGCGGTCTCGCCATGGGCGACGGCGGCGGGGGAGGCGCGGACATGGTGCTCGGCGCCCCAGTCGCGCTGGAACATGTCGCTGTACTCATCCAGGCTAAACCATTGCCACGTTGCGCGGT